TATAACTAAATTTATATTTATATAGTAACTCATTATTTATGCAAGCAATTAAAAGTAAAATAATCAAGTATTTATTTACATATCTCTTATCTAGAAACTTTTAAAGATATTCCTTTAAAAGAGCAACCAAAATGTCATAGTATCATAAAAGCAAGATAATATTATAGATCCTCCTATGGATACAAAAAACTTCATAACTGAGCTAGATGATAGAGCCTCATAACCATCATTTAAGACCAACACACACACACACACATATACACATACATCGGGACGTGCATACATTATCAGACATTCAAAAAGGATTCAGTATTAGCTAAAACAATGTAAAATATGCCACAAAATACAATGGCATGGGGTTTTAGGATATAAACTTCAGCTCATGACTAGTTGGCCAAGAGGGAAATACAGACCAACTATTCTGTTATGGGAACCTCTGAGTGGTGCAGATGTTTAACACATTCAGCTGCTAACTGAAAGGTTGGAGGTTCAAGTCCATCAGAGGCTCTTTGAAAAAAAGGCCTGGCAATTTACTTCCAAAAAATCAGCCACTGAAAACTCTGTGGAGCATAGTTCTACATGGGGTTGCTGTGAGTCGAAATCGACTCGGTAGCAACTGATTATTCAGTAATGGCAGTGTGAACCAAAATCTCCAGGGTAGCAGAAAAATCTCTGGGTAGACCCACCACAGTTTATCTGAATTGGCAGAAATTAGAGGACCCCACACCAAAGTCAGCAGTAAAGGCTTAAGTCAGGTGTATCTTCTAAACCAAATGAATTCCTCACCTGCTCCCACGTTATACCCCTGCCCCTTTGCTAATTTCTAAAATTCTTTCAATAGGAGAAAAAGCCTTTTATTGCATCATTAGAATGTTTAATATTAAATCTATTGTTTAAAAAAATATTTTAGTAACAATAGGTTTTAATTTAAATACAATTACTTAACAATATGATAACTTTTAAGTCACTATGTAAAACAGTTTCTCAGTCTTGATGGGGGAAGATACAGAAGCACAGGAAATGTAAGAAAAGATAAGAGGGGGAGAAGAAGGGAAAGGGTACACACAAAAGAGGGCTGAGGCAGTAGACAGCTTTTGCAGACCTCACAGAGTTCCTTGGGGTCAGTCTTGTTTAAGAGGGTTGGAACAAAACAGGCTGTGTACTTAAGTATTTTGTTCTTGCAGCTGCAAAGTCGGGCACTCTGCATTATATGATCTACAGAGAGGGTTTTTGCTTTGTTTTGTTTCCAACTTATTATTAGAAACAGTTTCTTCTAACATTTTATGACAAACATTTTGAAACATACATGAAAGTTGAAAGTAAAATGAATACCTTCTATCTGGATTCAACAATTTTTAATATTTTTGCCATATTTGCTTTATTTATATATGTATATGTGGATATATTTATTTTAATATATTAAATTTCAATATATTTATTTATCTTTGGTTAAATCATCTTAAAATAAATTGCAAAAATCATGATCCCTAAATACTTTGGCATGAAGCTCCTAAAAGCAACCACAATCCTCCTACTAACCACAATACCTTACTAATTCCAAAGAAAAGCAACAATAATCCCTCCACCATAATCCAACATCCAGTCCATATTCAAACATTCAATTGCCACCTCCCCCGCAATCTATCTCCGATAGATTTTTTTGCTCTGTTTTGTTTTGTGTTTTTAACAGGAACTAATCAAGTTCACATATTGCACTTGGCTGTTACGTCTTCAAGAACAGTCGCTTTATCCATTTTTTTGATGACACACACTTTTTGAAGACTATGGCATTTTTTTCTAAATGCTAGATGTGTAATGAGGTTATTTTTAAAGACTAGCACCTTTTATTAATGAAGGAGCTTAGTTACTGAGTACTTTACTAATGGTGGTATCATTCACTGCATGAAATAATTCTCAGGTCAACTGTTGTGAAAAAAATCTGGAAATTTAATATCAACAGTAAAGTTAAAATAACATTCTATTTCCATGATCATATGAGAATTTTAGGAGCCTTGGTGGTGCAGTGGCTAAGAGCTCGGCTGCTAACCAAAAGGTCGGAGGTTCAAACCCACCAGCCACTCCTTGGAAACCCTATGGGGCAGTTCTACTCCGTCCTATAGGGTCGCTATGAGTAGGAATCGACTTGATGGCAACAGGTTTTTGGTATAAGACTTTTATATAAAATATTATTAGTCTGCATTTCCTAATGAATCTCTGAGTTCTGATCAGCAAAGTACTTACTAGTAAAATAATGTGCAACAAATGAAAAATGATCATTGTGATAAACGGCATTATGCCCAAGAATTCTGGATACTTTATTCTAGCAGATTTGTATTCCTTGGAATGTCCTATCATTTAAGCCAATGACACTAGTTTTTTGCCAAGAACAGGAAAGGGAATATGAGAAAGAACATTTGTAGTTTACTCTAAATCCTTTTCAAAATTCTTTAGAAAGCACATATAAAACTGAGGTAATAATATCTATAACTTTCATCATGTAAATACTTTCTATTGTTTCTAAGTGACAATTAACAACAGCAAAAGTGAATACAATTTTAAAAATAATAAAAACATGAAAAAGAACAGAACTACAATAGAGATCTGATCTAGATTCTAACCACAGGGCACATGTCTTGGTATGAAATGGCCCATAGGCTCTCCCACCCCAACCCCCATACTTTTTTTAAAGCATTCTCTAAAGACTTGTTTAATACCTTAAAAGTCAACCAAGTACCCAGTATCCTCAAGAAGGTAGAAACAAAACATATGACATGATCTTATCCTTATTATATGAAACCATGGTGTTTAGGTGCTTAAAATATCATATACGGTGTTTTAAAAATGCTTTATTCATTTTTTTACTCATCAAATCCTTATAGCTTTCTTAGAGTAGGTCTGTTCAGAAGTCTATCAGATTTGCAGTAAGGGTCCAATTCTCAATGAAAAATTATAATTGAGAGATAGTACTAGTGGGTCTTAAATGAACTGGTTCACAACAAATACTGTAGTGAGAGCTATACTAATTGTAAAAGAAATAAGAAATAATTCTCAGGTAGGTCAACTGCAGTGAAAAAACCTGAACTTTAATACCAAATAGTAAAGTATTTTTAAAAATAAAGGTATTTGTGGAAATAAAATAGCCTATAGCTTATATGTCTTAAAATAGAACTGGTCATGAAATACTTAGTATTATATACTTGTGATATGAGGCAGTGGTGGTTCATAGTAGAACTCTCGCCTTCCATGTGGGAGACAAGAGTTTGATTCCCAGCCAGTGCACCTCATGTGCAGCTACCACCTGTCTGTCAGTAGTAGCTTGCATGTTGCTATGAAGCTCAATATGTTTCAGCAGAGCTTCCAGACTAAGCCGGGCTATGAAGAAAGGCCTGGCCATCTATTTCCAAAAATCAGCCAGTGAAAACCCTCTGGATCACAACGGTCCAATCTGCAGTTGATGTGTGGATGGAGCAGGACCAGACAACAGTATGCTTTCCTGTGCATTGAGTCTGCCTTGAGTTGAGGGCCGACTCAACAGCAGCTTACAACAACATATACTTGTGATAAAAAGAGAATAAGTTATTTTACCTTATTAAAGTATCTGATGATTTTTCTAATTCCTCACACTCCATGTGAAACACACTAGAAAAAGAATCCTGAAAACAAAGCAACAACACAGACTGAGAATTAAGCTTGACAAGGTAATGAAAGCTATCTATATACAGACATACGCGTCTGTGGAACTGATTAAAGGCATCAATACTTGTCACATATTTTTACTTTTTTGCAGACTAAAATGACCTGGCACCGATTTCATGACAAAGCCACTTCCCATTACTAAAGACCTTGCTCATGTTGTTGGTGACAAGAATGCTGATTTGAGTACCATTTGGTTTATTTTCTCTACTAGGTGTTAATGGATATATTCACTTCAAAAATTTCTCTATGCTTATTCTAAAATCCTCAATTTTTGGCTTTTACACATATATTGATGGCCTTTGTTACAGTTCAGGTAAAGAATGTCTTTTTAAAAAGACATATTCAGTAAAATTTTATGAGATCTTTAAATTAATTGTGAAAATTTCGACAACAGAGAGAAATACTTTTGAAGTTACATTTAAAACAGCAGAATGCAAATTTGCATCCACGCTATATTTACAACTGTATAAGGAAAGGAAACAAAGACATACAACAATGATGTTAGTTTAACTTGGGGATGAATGCCTTTTTTTTTTAATCTTGCTTATATTTTGATTTTTGCTCATGATGTTCAAATATTTTTAATCAACTAATAATTATAATATGAAGGCATCAAGTCATCCAATCCCTTTTCTAAACTCAACAACTGAATTGTTAAAAAGTAAGTAAATTATGAAAACAGGCATATTGTTGAAATATGTTTTCAAGCACTACTGATCCAAATCAGTTGCTACTATGATGGGTGTTAAGTGGGAGAAGCATGCACTGAATGTTACTTAAAGTGATATTTAAGTTGTTCAAAAAAGGAGTGCCTCATGTATCACTTTTAAAAATTAAACGCTAAAGAGCAGGTCATGGAGAAAAATGATAAAATGACACAATGTATTAATAAGTTCTGACTTGAACTTTAAAAGGATGGCTACTATCTTGTAATCATCTCTCATTTAAATACATTACTAATTTTATAACTGATTGAAAATATGAAATAATATGTATAAGAATACTGATTATCTTTTAGTACGGTGAATTCTCATGTGATAACCTATTAATAAGAACTTTGTATTAATCAACATATCCATTTTCACATACACACACATACAATGATTCTGATGATGTTGGGTCATATAGTACAGTCTTAATAGCTAAAACAATTAAAACATTTAAATATAAATTGTTAAATACTTTTTATTATTCTACTTACCCTCCCAAAATCAACTTAGATATCAAATATGGATTGTAACTGCCCTATACATAAAAATGGGAATCCCCACTCTCTTTCCTTTTCACCCACCAACGAAGAGCCTATTCCTAGGAACTTAATGGAAAAAAAACAACTACACAAAAAAGAAATATCCCAGAAGCAATGGTTCAAAACGTTGAGAAGGGAAATAAGGGGCATAAAGGAAAACTGCCTTCGGCCTGGGGTCCTGATTCTAATGGCAAACCCAAGGGGGTTGGCCTGCCTATAAATTACTCACACTCTGTAACAACACTCCATCTTTCCCAACACATCTGAAAATGTTTCTTCACATAACAAATCAATGGACTGAAATCTACCAATTATAACAGTTCAGTATTTACCATTGTTGGTAAAGGACCTGGGACCTTTAGTGATACTGCCTCTATTGGACTATGTCTTCTGATTTCTAAAGAATTCCTGGTACAAGGAAAGGTTTACACCTAACTCATTCAGGGTGGAAGTCCACCCATTCATGGCAGCCAGAGCACCACTATTCCTGACCTTGAAAAATCAGCACAGTGTAATGGCAATGTATTTTTCCATCAAGACAGTGCAATCATTGACAAAAGCAACATGCAGACATTCCCATGGCAACTAGTTAGCGCTGGGGGACAGAAGTGAAAAAGTGCATGAAAGGGACCCTCCAACCTCTTCTTATCCCTCTTCAACCACAGCAGCCCATACTCTGATCAGCTTTACGTAAGTACCACACATAGTTCTCCTTCAGTGGGTTCTGAGGCTAAATGCAATTTAAAAGCAGTGCTTTGAGGTGCTTTCGGTCTTTCTAAAAATATAAAAGTCATATTCTGTACTCACGGAGCAATCTTCATCCACTATGAAAATGGTGCATTTCTGCACCTGCATGAAAGAGATAATAGTGGCAGCTATTTTCTTCAGAATTACTTCTAATGATTGTTGTTCTTCAAAAATTAAGCTAGCAAGGTCAAGCAGCACCTAGATAAAAAAGATTAAGAGTTATTGTTTATTATTTATTAATTGTTTGTAACTATTAAAAATACGAGAAACCTTCAGTGAGATGGATTGACACAATAGCCACAACGACGGGCTCTATGTTTTAAGATCATGAAGATGGCACAGGACTGGGTAAAGTTTTGTTCTATTATATATAAGGTGGTGATGAGCCAGAGCCGAGTTGATGGCAACTAATAGCTAAAGAAAACTTGCCAGTGAAAAACATATGAATAGAAACTGAACACTGTAAGGTATAGTGCTGGAAGATGAGCCCCTCAGACTGGAAGGCATTCAAAATACAACTGGGGAAGAGCTGCCTCCTAAAACTAGAAATGAACTCAATGACATGGATGGAGCAAAGCTTTCAGGAACTTCATTTGCAGATGTGGCACGACTCAAAATAAGAAACAACTGCAAACATCCATTAATAATTGGAATGTGGAATGTATGAAGTATGAATCCAGGAATATTGGAAGTTGTCAAAATTGAAATGGAATGCATAAAGATCGATATCCTAGGCATTAGTGAGCTGAAATGGACTAGTACTGGTCATTTTGAATCAGACAATCATATGGTCTACTATGGGGGGAAACAAATTGAAGAGGAATGGCATTGCATTCATCATCAAAAAGAACATTTCAAGATCTATTCTGAAGTACAGAACTGTCAGTAGGATAATATCCCTGTCTACAAAGAAGACCAGTTAATAAGACTATTATTCAAATTTACCAACCAGCCACTAATGCCAAAGATAAAGAAACAGAAGATTTTCACCAACTCTGCGATCTAAAATTAATCAAACATGCAATCAAGATGCATTGATAATAACTGGTGACTGAAATGTGAAAGCTGGAACAAAGAAGGATCAGTAGATGGAAAATACAGACTTGGTGACAGAAATGATGCCAGAGATCACATGTCAGGATTTTGCAAGACCAACAACTTATATTCATTGCAAATACCTTTTTTCAACAACATAAATGGTGACAATACACGTGGACCTTGCCAGATGGAATACACAGGAATTAAATCCACTACATCTGTGGAAAGAGACGATGGAGAAATTAAATATCATCAGTCAGAACAAGGCCAGGGGCCGACTGTGGAACAGACCATCAACTGCTCCTGTGCAAGTTTAAGATGAAGCTGAAGAAAATTAAAACAAGTCCACGAGAGCCAAAGTACAAGCTTGAGCATATCCCACCTGAATTTAGAGACCATCTCAAGAATAGATTTGACAAATTGAACACTAATGACGGAAAGACCAGACAAGTAGTGGGATGACATGAAGAATATCATACATGAAGAAAGCAAAAGATCATTAAAAAGACAGGAAAGAAAGAAAAGACCAAAATTGATGTCAGAAGAGACTATGAAACTTGCTCTTGAACGTACAGTAGCTAAAGCAAAAGGGAGAAATGATGATGTAAAAGAGCTGACGAGAAGATTTCAAAGGGCGGTCCGAGAAGACAGACTAAAGTATTATAATGACATTTGCAAAGATGTGGAGTTAGACAACCAAAGGGAAGAACATGCTCAGCATTTCTCAAGCTGAAAGAACTGAAGAAAAAATCAAGCTTCGAGTTGCAATTTTAAAGGATTCTATGGGCAAAATACTGAGTGACACAAGAAGCATCAAAAGAAGATAGAAGGAATACACAAAGTCATCATACCAAAAAGAATTCGTCGATGTTCAACCATTTCAGGAGGTAGCATATGATCAAGAACTGACAGTACTAAAGGAAGAAGTTCAAGCTGTACTGAAAGCATTGGTGAAAAACAAGGCTCCAGGTATTAATGGAATACCAACTGAGATGTTTCAACAAACGAATGCAACACTGGAAGCAATCACTCGTCTATGCCAAGAAATCTGGAAGACAGCTACCTGGCCAACCAGATGGAAGAGATCCATATTTGTGCCCATTCCAAAGGAAGGTGATCCAACTGAATGCAGAAATTATCAAGCAATATCATTAATATCACACACAATTAAAATTTTGCTAAAGAAAATCCAAAAATGGTTGTAGCAGTACATTGACAGGGAACTGCCAGAAATTTAAGCCAGATTCAGAAGAGGATGTGGAACAAGGGATATCACTGCTGATGTCAGGTGGATCTTGGCTGAAAGCAGAGAATACCAGAAAGACGTTTACCTGTGTTTTGTTGACTATGCAAAGGCATTCGACTTGTGGATCATAACAAATTATGGATAGCATTGTGAAGAATGGGAATTCCAGAAAACTTAATTGTGCTCATGAGGAACCTGTACATAGACCAACAGGCAGTCATTCGAACAGAACAATGGGATACTGCGTGGCTTAAAGTCAGGAAAGGTGTGCGTCAGGGTTGTATCCTTTCATCATACTTATTCAATCTGTATGCTGATCGAATTAATCCTAGAAGTCAGACTATATGAAGAAGAATGAGGCATCATTTGGAAGATTGCAGAAAGACTCATTAACAACCTGCAATATGCAGATGACAAAACCTTGCTTACTGTAAGTGAAGAGGGCTTTTAGCACTTTCTGATGAAGATCAAAAACTACAGCCTTCAGTATGGATTACATCTCAACATAAAACAAAAATCCTCACAACTCAACCAATGAACAACATCATGGTAAACGGACAAAATGTTGAAGTTGTCAAGGATTTCATTTTACGTGGATCCACAATCAATGCCCATGGAAGCAGCAGTCAAGAAATTAAATGATGTATTGCATTGGACAAATCTGCTACAGTGTTCAAAAAAATCTTTAAAGTGTTAAAAAACAAAGATGTCAGTTTGAGGACTAAGGTGTGCCTGACCCAAACCATGGTATTTTTAATCACCTCATATGCATGTGAAAGTTGAACAATAAGAAAGGAAGACTGAAGAAGAATTGATGTCTTTGAATTATGGTGTTGGATATTCCATACACTGCCAGAAGAACAAACAAATCTGTCTTGGAAGAAGTACAGCCAGAATGCTCCTTAGAAAGAGGACGGTGAGACTTCATCTCACATATTTTGGACATGTTATAAGGAAGGACCAGTTCCTGGAAAAGGATATCATGTTTGGTAAACTAGAGGGTCAGCGAAAAAGAGGAAGACACTCTAAGAGATTAACTGACACAGTGGCTGCAACAATGGGCTCAAACATAGCAACGATTGCGAGGATGGTGCAGGATCAGGCAGTGTTTCACTCTGTTGTACATAGGGTCACTATGAGTTGGAACCAACTCTAGTGAAACTTACAGCAACAAAACCACAAAAAAACCAAACCCGTTGTCATTGAGTCGATTCCAACTCATAGCAACCCTAGAGGACAGAGTAGAATTGCCCCATAGGGTTTCCAAAGAGTGACTTGGTGCATTTGAACTGCTGACCTTTTGGTTAGCAGCCATAGCTCTTAACCATCACGCCACCAGGACTCCTAACAACTACAACAAGAACATAATTATTAAAGTAATACAATAATTTACATGGGTTATAAGTTGTTTATACATAATACAGCAAGTTATGACAAAGTTTGAGTTTGCATTCAAATATTAAATAAGAAAATCTTTGCTTACTAACAAAACATGGTTAAGATTATAGATTCTGAAGCCAGAGTACTTGGTTTTTAATCCTGGCTTCCTTTCCTAATAGATTTATGGCCTAGGGTAATTTTCTTGGATATGAGGATAATGATAGTATCAAAATTATAGGGCTGTTGTGAGGATTAAATAAGTTCATATTTATAAAGAGTTTTGAACAGTTTCTGGTGTATAGTACACACTATTATTGCTATTGTTCTAAACTTCTGAGATCGACAATTATTAAAATCAAAACATAATTTATGGAGAATAGTCAATGTTGTCCAAAGTGAACAACCTTTTAAGGTTGTCTTCTGTGTTTTTTCCTGTAATTTCTCTTTCCTCTGAATTTAATGAAACTTATTCTAATATCACACAACATTTATGTGATGTGGGGGAGGTGTGGGGAGAGAAGGGAGTATTACAGAAAATTTCTTGGGAGGCAATCATATCTTAGCTGAAGCCTGAAAGATGAGTAGGAATTGATCAATGAAGTGGTGATGGAAATATTTCAAGCAAAAACAATCCAGTTGAGAGAAAGCAGCAAACTACAAGTTTTGATCAAGTTTTATGAGAGCATAGAGTATAAAGAGGAGAACTGGGGAGATGAGGTTGCAGAATTAAGCAGTGAAAAAACCCAAGAACTCATGTATGTCTTGTGATGCAGTCTGGACTTCGGACAGAGGGGACATGATCCCATTTGTGTTTACAGACATGAGCACTGGATTAAGGGGGGCAAGTGTAGAACAGGGAGAACAGTTAGGAGGATACTGCAATTGAAGGCAATGGGTTGACCATAGGCCTTTACTCTTTCTTCCTCCTGATACCTTACTAAAATGAGATCAGAGAAATAAAATAAGAAGAATTTAAAACCTATAACCTCAAAGAGAACTAGAGAGGGTCCATCAGTGAATCTGGTAGTTCAATAAATTTATGAAGGATGAAATGTAGATGAAGGAGTGGTAACTGACAAAGCACGTGGGTTTATGAGGGGTTTGGGATGCAACTGCCAGAAAGAGTCCTCCCTTGTCACCTGTAATCCATTCATGACAGGAAGGCAGCCAGGCATCTATCTCCATTGCAAAAATAAAAGTTACTTTTCTAAATAATTCAGTAGCCCCAGAGAAAAGACCTGAAATTTCAGGATGCTCCCAAATGGTCCAAACCAATTACGCTAAAGTAAAGCTCAAACCAAAAAACCAAACCCACTACCATCAAGTCAATCCCGACTCATGGCAACTCCATTTGCTACAGACTAGAACTGCTCCATAGGATTTTCTTGGCTGTAATCTTTACAGAAGTAGACCATTTCTCCACAGTGCCACTGGGTGGGTTTGAACCACCAACCTTTAGGTGGTTGAGTGCAAACAGCCTGCACCAACCAGGGACCTACAAGCAAAGCCTAGGAACAAAAGCTGACAAAGGTATTCATGCAAATAGAGCTCCCAAAGGGCTTCTGCTTGCTTCACGTACCACAAAACATGAAATAAGCCAAACAATATACAGTGCACCCACCACATAGCTCTATTACATCTTAATACTCTGCTTCAATTTTTTTCCTTTTAATAAATAAAACATTAGAGATACACTTTAAGCCTACTTTCTTAATTCTATGCCCCTTGTTCTCTCCTTGGAATAGCCATTATGCTGAATTTAATGCTTACATGTTACTACATAATTATATATAAAAATATAGACAGCACTGTTTTAGATTTAAACATTACACAAATTATATCACACTGTAGGTTTAATCTGCAATGTACTTTTTAAATTTAATATATTTTTGGGATTGACCTATGTCAATGTTTGTGGCTCTAGCTTGTTTATTTTAAGTGATATGTAGTATTCCACATTTCCACATAATATACCACACTTTATTTCTCTGTTCTCCTGATGGATAGTTAAATTGTTTCCAATTTTCCTATATTATAAACAGCATTGTGATGAAACTTTCTGTGCATGTATGAGTTTTCCTTGAGGAGATACTTTGACTAAAAGGAAAACTGCTGGGTCCGAAGGCATGTCTTTTCCATGTTAGTAACAAAAACCAGTTGCTATTGAGCCAATTCCAACTCATAGCGACCTTATGTGTGTAGGGTAGAACTGTACTGCCTAGGTTTTCAAGGCTGTGACCTTTCAGAAGCAGATCGCCAGGGCTTTCTTCCAGGTTCCTCTTGGTGGGTTCGAACTACCAATCTTTTGGTTAGTAGTCAAGTGCCTCTTTGTGCTACCTAGTGGAACCACCAAATTTTTCTTCAAAATGGTTATACCAATTTATACTCTCACTTGCAAAATATAATAATTTCCATTTTTCCTCAATAACACCTGGAATTATTAGATTTTTAAATTTTGACCAATGATAGTTATAGAGTAGAATTTCCTTTTTGTGTTAATTATCATGTCCCTGAGTATTAGCGAGGTTAAACATCCTGACATATATTTATTGGCTTGTTGGGTTTTTGATTCTGTAAGCTGCCTGCTAATATCCTTTGCCCATTTTTCTACTGAGTGTCTTTTACATAGTGACGTGTAGGAGTACACTGTAAATTCTAGACACTACTCTTAAAATTGAAAGGACATCAAAGAATCAACAGACATTTGTGCAAATAGCCCCAACTTAAAAGAGACAGATTTATCAAACAAAAATTTCAAAGAATATAGAAAATTCAAGAAACCAAAGAAAACTTGAAAAGCCTCAACATAAAAATTACCAGGAAAAGTTGAAGAAATCTCCCAGAAAGTGAAACTGAAGGCTAGAAAAGAAAGTGGAAAAGATGAGACAAGAATCAATTCTGGAAGTCTAGCATCTTAATAACAGATGTTCTAGAAAGAGAAAACAGAGAAACTAGAGGGTTGAGGAGATGAATTATCAAAGAAGTAATGAAAAAATAATTATACAGAATAGAAAGGCTTGAACTTTCAGGCTGGAAAGGATGATCAGGTACCAGCATAATGAATGAAAACAAAAGAAAGAAAAAAGTCATATTGTGAAATTAAATAGTGAAAGAAAAGGTAATCAATCAGAAAAACTTACAGACCAAAAAAAAAAGAAAAAGAAAAAGAAACCAACAACAAAGAACCAGTAGTTAGAACGACACGGTTGATAGTTGAAAGACTAAAAACCACTGCCTTTAAATTCTGAAAAAGTGATTTCCAACTTAAAATTCTATGCCTAGCCAAACTGGTAGGATGGGACAATAGACATTTTCACGCATGCAAGGACTCAGAACACTTCCCTCATCAATACTCTTTCTCAAGTAGTTAACTGAGAGAGTGTTCCGTGAAGGAAAGTTATATGATAACAGCGATGCAATAGGCATGGGGAAAAATAATTCAGGTTGGAAGAGGAGAGAGAGAGAATTTCAATTTGTAGATCTCCAAGAAAAAGAGAAACTCAACAGAATGACTAACATGATGAAGAGTTAAGGGTGGAAAGCCCAGCAACATGAGGCTACAATAGAGCGAATAGTTCAAGGAAAAAGAAAGGACTTCAGAAATACCAAGAAAGCTAAAAGTTACATAACAAAGGTAACATGAATAGCAATTTACATAGAGAAATCATAAAGCTTCATTTTAAATTTTAACTTTAGGATTAACTTAGACAAAGCTGAAGAAAACTTAATCATGATTACAGAGCAAAATATATGTTATCAATTTGAGCAATATAAAAGAAAAAATCCAGATGGCACAAATGGGGGTAAGGAGTGGTAGTTGGGAAGGAGAGACGCAGGGAAGTTTAGCAATGCTAAGATTCTCACCTTATAAAGTATGAAAATTGAGGGATGATGTCTAGAGTTGACAGAGCACCAAATAAAAGCATACATGCACTATAACGTTTAACATCACGAATGCAACCCAACCAGTAACTTAAAACAATGACATAATGATACTGGTAGGATAAGGTAACGGCAAGTAAGGGGTGGTGGAAGTCAGGTAAATTTTCATCTTTCAAGTAAGTAACTATTGTCTAACAGTGATAATGCAACTGAGCATGGAAAATAGAAAATGGAAATAACTTTGAGAAGAAACAGCTAAAATAACTATCAGAAGAAAGAGATTTAGAAGCTGAATCTATTTGAAATTTTAACCATGCATATATATTACTTAGATAAAAATTTTAACAAAAATTTTTTAAAGATCTCTATACTCCCTCTTTAGTAACCAAGTCTTACCTGATTTCTCTTGTTTTCCAGCAATGAAGTCTCATAGAGTTGAGCATTATGAAGAACAATACCACAAAATGCCAAATAAGCAGCAAAGTCCTAGAAAACAGATAAATAAGACAACAACCAAATAAGAATTGTCCATAAAACTGTCTAGTTAAGTTTCCTGAAACACAAAAGGCATCCAAAAATATTCAGAGTCGAAATACGTATTAGAAAGCTAAAAGTGTAGGTGTCTGTTCTGCATAAACTTTTAAAATTAGGAATTGATGCAAACCAAGTCTCAGCTAAATGGCACCACTAGTAGATGACACGTCTTAACACACTCCCCTAAGGTCAGATGTTTGGTGTAAATGAATAAGGAGAAAGAGGGGAGGAGCTAAGACGCAGACCTCTTTATAGCATTTAAAATTGCAATATGGTGTAGTCTCTGCATGGTATTAAGACCTGGACCTATGCTGAGACTATAAATAACTTATTACTGGGGCAAATGGAAGTTCACATACTTGTTAATAGAATATTGGCAATAATAGCCCCATATAAAGTTTCAAATATTGTATAACTTTAAATATGTTCTTTTTAACATGATTTATTATCCTTAGTATACTATACTAGTGTAATGTGCTCACAATTATATTAATCATTGATTAAAGTAAATCTTTAGAATACCATACTTTATTCACAGTTATGGATTTATCTTGCCAAGAGGTGATAGAACCAAAAAAGGTAAATAAATTTAAGAAGAATTTATATTAATGAACTATAAACCAATAATAGAATAGAAGTCAATCTGGCATCATGTTTTCCCACCAAATATTCTCAGGTGCCATTAACAGAACAGGAGGCTAGATGTCTAGTACTCTGATTTAAAAAAGGTACTTTCTATATTCTGAAGCAATTAAAATATGGAGACCAATACAGGTGCCAATCCAACCTACAACACGGAGACAAAAATAATGATGTCTTGTTTGAATACTTTCCAAATTCAAAGCTCCTACTAATTTTTGGAGAACACAACATAAACAGCAATGGGCTTGGAATAGGAAGAATTTAGTGGGCTCTATGATATACATATAATGACAGATTCAGTAGGTGAAATAATAAAATCTACTGACAGAATGAAGTTATAAACAGATTTAAGGGCTTCCGTCCCGGAAAGCCTGTCAATTTGGTGTGCAGAATGTATTCCTTCAGAGTTGGATGAGAAAAGTCATAAAATAATGCTGACCGCCTCCCTTTCTGAAGTGAAATTCACATGGTCTAGCCTGAATTCTCAGCTTGGTGCCCCACCATCGGTGTGCAAAGCTTATAAAACATTCTGAAATTTGCCTCACCAAGAGGCAATTCCAATTTTTAGCCAACCTGGAGTACTGAACTTGGAGCAGTGCTTTTGGGATTTTTTACTTCAGGTCGAATGTCTTTACAGCAGTGATGAAAGGTAAATGAGAGTGTTAAAACACCCTGAGTCACCCTCTGTGTGGCCCTAACATGCACACAGCCCCAGTGGTGGCCTGCTTGCACAGTAGCCAGGTTTCTGCTGGAGAAGCAGGAATTGAGTAACACAGGTACCCTGGAGTCAAGGTGGCACTGTATTTAGTGACAGGAAATATAAACTTCCAAACATGTCGGACAGTTTTTAAAAACACTGTTTTTCATGATCAACCATTTCAGGAACTAATTCTAGAGGTCTATATACGGAGGGGAAACCCTGGTGGCATAATGGTTAAGACTTTGGCTGCTAACCAAAAGGTCGGCAGTTCGAATCCACCAGGTGCTCCTTGGAAACCCTATGGGGCAGTTCTACTCTGTCCTAGAAGGTCGCTGTGAGTCGGAATCGACTCAACGGCAGTGGGTTTGGGTTTTTATATAAGGAGGAGTACCTGGGCGGTACAAACAGTTAACGTACTTGGCTGATAACTGAAAGGTTGCAAGTTCAAGTCTGCCCAGAGCTGCCTCAGAAGAAAGGCCTGGTGATCTACTTCTGAAAAATCAGCCCTTGAAAACCCTACAGAGCATAGTTCTACTATGACACACATGGGGTCACCATGAGTTGAAGTCGACTCAACAGCAATTGGCATCATACCAGACACAGGTTTTTGTACCTTTTCATCTTTTTCCGTGAATGTCCCACCATTTCCAGATTTCTTGTTGATAGCCTGAGCTACACCAACAACCTGGTATAAGAAAGGTGGTAAGTGTTCTGTTGAATGAAATTATTGTTATAAATTCACCAAAGAGTGTTTTTAGAGCAATTTCTAAATCCACATGCTTTAAAATAACACTAAGCAACAATATGAAAACAATCCCCCCCCCCCCCCCCCCCCCCCAGCATTTGAACTAGTTCTACATCATTTACTACACTCTTTTTCCTAATGAACTTCTTGGCATCCAAACCTTAATTGATTTTGTGGTTTCACCCTGCATTTAGAATAAAATTACAGGCAGTCACATGTTAACTGAATATTTTCTATAGCTTTTGAATAAAAAAATAAACACCAAATTTCTATTACATTGCAAATAAAATATATGATAAAATGAACATTCATATTGGTTTCAAATATTCTTTTCAAAGGGGCTAAATGCTCTTTTACTAAAAATGAAACAGAACCCAGTGACCAGTCACAGATATTAAAATGCAGGAGGACCACTGGGCAAAAATAATTCTTACTGTAAGGATGTAGTCCAACTTCTTTCTTGAAAACTATTTTATCTTCAACAGACTTCTTTTTGGGGAAAGAGGTTATTGAAAAATCAAAACAGGAATTAACAGTCTAAGTCTTATTTCAAATACATCAGCAGTATCTGGAAGATGAACTATACCTTAAGGAGACTAAGCTAAACTCTGTCTGTGAATATGCCTTAAGTTTCAACAAAAAGATTTAGCAAGACTTTAAGAACCTCTCAATTTTGTGCTTGAAAATACGTTTTACTTACTCATTTACTTCCAACTTTAGTTTGAGATATTACCTAAAGGTTTCAACTTGCTTTTGCCTCCTCTATACTGCTGATAAATTCTGTACTTCCTTTCCTTCTGCAATTTAGTATCAGTGGCATAATATTATCTCCTAAATGGTTCCATTTTAAAAATATGAAGTCCTTAGTTTTGTATGGATGGTTCATCCTTGCTTTCTAAATTCTCAGCTTGCTCTACTCCCTTAGCTTTAAGAAAAGGATAAAAAGTCCAATCTAGGATAGCAGAACAAGGAAGGGGGAAAATGCATTCTTATCTGATGCAGTTTTCTGGTCTTCTCAACAACTCCTCCCTCATTTTTTCAAATACAGAGTAAAAGGATTGACATACAAAGCAGAAGTATCCAATTATCCAGTACTTTTTAATGCCCTTAGTTCATCTATTCCTTATTCTTTGTATAATTTTAGCTCTTGGAAAGAGCTAACGGACTTCTATATGCACCAATCTCAATGGCTAAGTGCCTAGGAAAGCTTTAGTCTCATGTTAAAAAATGTCTGGAGTGTGGATAGGCAAGCTCCCTTGAAATACAATTGATAAGAACCACTTGAGGGTCAATGAGGTCTAATACATGGTGGCACCAGTATAACTAGGTTTATTTTAAGTGTTTATCCATCCATTCACTCATGCATTCACTAAACAATGAAGTGCCCACTAAGTGCAAAAAAAAAAAAAAAAACCAACAACACCCGTTGCCATCGAGTCAATTCTGACTCATAGTGACCCTATAGGACAGAACAGAACTGCCCCATGGGGTTTCCAAGGAGCAGCTGGTGGATTCAAACTTCTGATCTTTTAGTTAGTAGCCATAGACAACCCTGAAGGAGCTTAGAATCAAGAATGAGTGATACATAACATACACTTATAGCACAGTAGGACAGCGTGATCAGTTTTATGACACACATGCCCACAGATTTCTAGGAACACAGAAGGGATACCTAGTATGGGTAAAAGAGAAGGCGCCCCAGAAACAGTGACATTTGAGTTTCATGTTTTAGAAATAGTTTTACAAAAGAAAGACCTAAATTTTAAATCTTCATTTTAAGGAAGATGAGTTTAAAACAGATATAGAGACTGTTATGAAAACTCCTTAGATAATTAAACAGCCTAAAAAGCACATATTGATATGCTATATTTGTAACTAGAGCTGTCTGAGGCAATGAACAAAGCAAGCAAGTAAGGAGACAGACTCCTGTTCACTCAAAAACATAAATGGACAGAAAGTCAGCTGCTTACTAAATGACCAATAATTAAACTATATATTAGACTATCATTATATTACCACAAATTGACAGTGAGAGTGATAAAGAGAAAAAAAAGAGGAAAAACACCTACATAATGTACTTTCTGAAATCAAGTCTAGTAAAAGTAACAAAGTCGGTCAGCTTAGGTTATTAGAGTCCTTTGAAAGTGAGGTCAAAGACTGTGGGGGCCAATTATGTGGTCCACGTCTGCAGGCTGCAGATACCCTTAACTAGGTCAATGATCTCTACGCTGGGTGACTGAACAATGACTTGGGGTGGAAGGGGAGAGTTGGAAAGGAAGAGGGTATAAATGTTTGTTGATGGGTCAGTAAGCATCAATTCTGAATAGAAAAGCAAAACCCAAGCATGGCCTGTTCCCAATGGGTTGGCAGCATCTTCATTTAAGTAGAAGAGCACTTAAAACAAGGCTTCTTCAGCAGAAAAGGGGATAGTCCCTAGAGCTATTCCCTTTATTAAAATCTATATCCCTAAAAAGACTAAGTCAGTCATTTGCACTAGTGTACAACTTAAGCTTTAATCTGCATGTTTTACACTTAGGAATGTTTATAGGATAAGCATTATTTCTAACTGTAGGCTGAAAAGTTTTCTTTCTGGTTACAAGAACAATGTCCCTGAAACTATATCGAGTAGACTCCATTACTCACAATTTTCAACCAACACAATAGTGTTCACGTAGTTTAATAACTATTTTTCACTTCCAGAACTTCTATTTAATTCTTTTTTTTCCAAGTTTGTTTGGTCTTTCTTCTTCTTTCCCTTTAAATATTTGCCTGTTTCCTCCCTTTATCTCTTTGAACATACCTATTTTAAAGTCTCTTTCAGATTTTTCTACCATCTCTAATTCTTGGGAGACAAGTTCTCCTATTTGTTGCATCTGCAAACTCTCTTTCACGGTGACTGTTTTCTCACTGTTTACAGTTTTGACTGTGAGGTCATCCTTAGCAGGGACTGTTTTCCATGGGAGTCCCGTGTTCCCTCAGTCATGAGGTGTCTACACACAGTGAGTCCCTGTTTGTCTTTGTTCTACACTGGTGGTGTGATCTGATGGTTCACAGGTGTCTCTTTTTTCTCCCTCACCCAAAGGCAGAAGGCAAGCTCCCTTGCTGCTTCTCCTGGCTGCTGGTGGAGTTTTGCTAGGACCAGTTTCATAGATGGAACCTTCACAGATCTAGACTTTCCACAGGAGTTTGGTTCCAGCTTCTCCCCCACCCCCCTTCGCCTTCTGTCATCATCTCTGTGTCATGGACAGGCATTAACGTCTCAGGCAGATGTTAACCTCAAACACAGAGGCTACACCTGAAACTCATAGCTCCATGAATCCATTTGGCTTTTGGTTTCACTCATTTTCATTTCCTTGGATTCTCTTCTTTGTTTCTGGCACACCTGGAGTCTTCCGTTTCTTCATTTTTGAGTGTGTGTGTGTGTGTGTGTGTGTGTATATATATACCCACATTTCCATGGTGGTGCAGTGGTTACAATGCCAGACTGCTAAGCAAAAGGTCAGCAGTTCAAAACCATCAACAGCTCCAGGAGAGAAAAATATGGCAGTTTGCTTCCAATTTACAGCCTTGGAAATCCTTTGGGGTCGTTATGAGTTGAAATTGACTCAATGGCAGTGGGTTTAGTGGTATATATGTGTGTGTGTATATATATATACATATGTGCATGTATGTGTATAAAATTTTGTTTTTGGTGAAATTTTATCTACCACTTTTACTGCTTGGAGCACAGGGCGGGGGATGGGGGGGTGGTATTCTTCTAATGCTTCTACACCTGTTCCATCTGGCAAACTGACCAGAAGCCTTGTTTATATGCTTCAAAACCATATATCCCCTGAACACCAGGTCTTTAATGCTACGTTTAATTTTTTCCCTTAGATTTTAGAGCAAGATATTTACCATTTGGCAACTTGATGGAATTACGGCTTCCAACAATGAATTTTTCACCCTTTCTGGTAAACAAATTATTTCCCTCAGTAATGACTTTATAGATTGATACACAAGAGATTAATTTGTTTAAGAGATGATTGATTAAACATAAATGGTATTTTTTAAAAAAAACAACAAAAAACAGTCAAGCTCTTTTAAGAGACTATTAGGCCAGAAAATTATATCTAATACATATACGTGCCTCCACCCCAGAAGGATGACATTTTAAAAACAGCACTACCTTGGGTTAAGTATTTTATGTGAGGAAATAGAAGAAAAGGCATATTGTGTGTCCAACGTCACAGTCAGTAAAATACAAAGAGCAGTCTAACTCTTCAAATCTCGAGCAAAACCAGGACTCTGTCCCTCTTGTAAACATATAACGGCCTTCCTTCTTCTTTCATCTATTGCTGCTTTAAACAAATTAGTTCATTTTCTTCAAGCCAAGTAGCTGCTAACCACAGGTTTTTAAATGTCAATTTTCAAAGATAACATAAGTATATGGCAGATTTCATATCTGGGAGGCAAAGCTCCTAAAAATGTTAGCTTCCATATCAGAAAGCCCCTTCACTTCTTCCTACCTGCTGGGTACCTGTACCCTCAGATGCTGGTACTCTATGCTTTTTTTTTTTCTTTAAACACAAAGGAGCCTCCCTGTTTTCTATTTTGCTGGCATTTTCCACAGCATAAATGGGTATTATATCCTCACAGGGTAGACTGTACCTTTAGGAATGCAAAGGGCAAGACTCGACTCTCACTGGATAAGCAGTGTGGAATGTGACAGCTGGTGATCATTGCCATAGTGAGCAATTTCTTCAATCAGCAGCTGCCCCAGACACTTACTGAGGCCATACATCAATCCCAATACATTTCCCCATTTCCCATTCCAGAAGATGCTTACAGTAGAGACTAAAAGTGGGGGTGGGGAGGGAGGAGAGGAACAGACTCTACTGATCTTAGCTATCCCTCTCCCTACCCAGTAAAATGTCTCCATACAAATGGCAGGACTCTAG